TTTATGATTATTTATTAGATTATAATTTATGATTTCGTGTTTCAAATTTTAACATACCCGGGATGTTTACTAGACTCTTGTTCAGACAGATTTCAGTGAATTATTCCTAAAAAAGACAGGCCTACAATTAAAAAAAACTACATATTTCCATGCAAAAAAAGTACCGCTTTGAGCACAGAAATACTGACATAATCAGACGTAGGGAGCCTACGCTAGGTACACACTAGCATTTTTTTTCTTTCAACCCAGAAGGCTGAATGAAAAAACCTCAAGAGCTCAAGAGGAGCTCGCTGTACTAACTATGCAATGTTAGTACAGCGCTTTCCCCACTGAGTTATTGTGTTCTGACAGGGTAATGGCCACCCTACCAGAGCATACTGGTCAGCGCTGGCAGCCATTGGCTGCTAGCACTGATCGGATGCTAGTTTTCCAGCATGCCCGTTCCACAGAAGCAAACTGTTTGGCTGGCTTCTGTCGCACAGGCAGGTGTACACACCGGCCGAATGTTGGCTGGTTTCTATTGAACCAACCAATACCAGCTGATACTCAGTCTGTGTATATGGGGCTTTAAACCTGGCTGAGCTGCTGCCAGGGATTCATGGATTTCAAAACTAACTAAACAGATTTACATATACTTTGTATACCAGGTATAACATTAATTTATTGTGAGGTTTGCTGTAGTTCACCTTTAGGAAGAGATAGCCCAACAATGTTTGAACACAACACAAGCTTACCATACTTGAAACTAAATTATAATACATTAATGGTACCTATAGGCAACTGTCCTTATCAGGTGATCATTGCCTGCCTATCTGTGCCTGAAGAAGTTGTACCCCACACTTTTAAGGGATTTCCTAGCTTATCTAGCCACTTTTGTATGCCCCAAGACAAACTGATGATGTCTCTGTTCAGCTTCCCTACTCTACAGACATTAACATGAAGGCTCAATGTAGCCAAGTTTCTATGAGCTTAACTTTAAACTATATTTGATTGCTCCTATGAGAAAATAAAAGTATTTCCTTCTCTGTTGTATGTCTATGCAAATAGTTTTATGCCATAAGCTAGAGTGTCATGTTAGATTTTAGATGTAAAAACGTAAACAATGCTACCTGCATGGTAGCAGTCAAAAAATTTGAAATTATTAATACCTTTCTTTCAACTATATGTTCAAATGCTACAAACAGAGATTGCCAAGGGATCACTTATTTGGCAGCTGGAATCAACAACAGTGTTTCATATGATTAGACTTTAGGCTATAAAACACCAGTACCATCTGCTATCAGTGAATATAAACAGCTTTGTAGTAACAGGTTTAAATAAAGGCTTATCACTATAAACCTCTCAATGTTATTTGCTTTCTCTGGTCTATCTAGATTAAAAGTTCTAATCCTTTTTTGGTGTTGCAAAAGCTGATCAGAGTAATAACCACTCAGCCCTATTTCTGGATTAGTTATACAAAAGTCATAGATTAGAAAAATTAAAGACACATTAAAGTACATATAAACTCTAACTGAATGGCATATAGTTTGTTACAGCACTGCATATCATAAACAAAGGCCATTCTTTTAAACTTGTTTTCACCTTTTTTTTTCATCCTTTGTTGAATCCAAGTGCTGCAGGTTCTTTGCAGCCACATTCTGTCTACATGTATTCTGTTTCTAAAGGTAAGCTTCTAGATGACAGGTCAGAGGACAATGCTGCATAATGTGTGTTGAAACTGCCAAGTAAAGTTTCAATTATAGGCTGCATTACAGGTGACAACACAGGTGGGCAATTGAGAAACAAGGACAGAGAGTCATCTCCAAATATCAAAAAGAGCCCGAAAAAAGACCTTAATGGCAGGATGACAGGTTGTCATTTTAATAAAAGCTATAGATTTGCATATAATCGACATTCATATTGAATCAATATGAGCATGTTAAAGAGTGATGTTTTAAAGCTGAACTCCAAGATCAATGAAAGGCTGCCTGCAGGGTCCTTGCTGAAGACAAAAGAGGCCTGACGTCATCACAGGTGGACAATAGGGGGCCAGTGGTCCTGGGGAACCATCACAGCACTGGACTAGTGGTCCCCTGAATCAGAACTGGTAGCACTAAGGAGCCTCTGCTGGCTGGGGTAACCCAGAATATTGCTGGCTTCACAAGGTAGGGGGAAAAAAAAGACTGTCAGCATAGGTTAGAGGTAGGTGGGAGGAAGGATAAGTAAAAAGTTAGTTCCAGAGTGGGACTTTAATGATTGGGGTCACATATGGTGCCTACAAGGAGCTTGAATAGTTTTTGTCAAGCTTCTTATAGGCAGTTAAACATCGTGCAAGCCTGCCTCTCTCCAAAACAGGCTGCTAAAACTTATCATCCCACAACATTTTTTTCCAAAAGACGTTTTGTGACCAAGCATTGTAGAAAAAGTTTTATGTCACACACAGAATGTCTCATGACTGCATCAAATCCTTTGCATCATGATAATAAATGATTGGTAAACTTTGCAAAGGTCAAGTTAAGTTAAGAACTCAAACACAGAAGAAAGATATCATTCAGTAGAGATGGAAGTTTCGAAAGCACATTCGACCTTGTGTGTGCAGAAGTCATATCAGAGTATCATAAGTGAACAAATGGGCAATCAAATTAGTCTAAAAAGTTAGTATGTTGTCCTACCAGGGCAGTGTATGAAAATTTTGATTGTTTATTGCAATACACAAATTCTGGGTGAATGAGGAAGGAGATCATTAGAATTAGAATTGGTTTGTATGGTGTAGCTAAAAACTGCCAGCTCTGTAAGAAATATTGGTACAATTCACATCAATTTATGTTAAAATATTAACAATGTGAAAACTGTTCATACAATGAGCTTGACTCAAGAAAGTGGAAGTAGACATGTGTACGCCTGAAATTTGCATTTTGTTTTGTTTCTGAATCTTAACCCAATTTGTTTTCGTAATTTGTTTAGTATCTTCTGCATTCATTTAATTTATTCCTTGGTCTGAGTGTATTTGAAAAATATTGCAGTTCTTTCGGAAGATTGCTGTATAATCAATATATTATTGAATCCGATGGATTAGATTTGGACAAATTAGATATTTTCGGATGCTAGTCCAACCCACCAAGAAAAATGTCATGAGCTGATTGGACAATATCAACTGGTGTCACGTGCATCTGAATTAACAAATGGAACAAAATTCAGATCCATTCATTTTCCGAATTAATTCCGAACTGCCGGTTGCTGTTGTAAGTATGAAAACTATGATTGGTGCAGGCACTTTGCAGTATCTTCTATATACACAATTGAGGTATTTCACTGCAATCAGCTAAGGGGTCACCTTTGCAGTAATAAAAGTGTACCATATGTTATATGTGAATGTCATTAACGGATAAGTTCGCCTTTGGAACATGTTACATGTTCAACCCCGTTTTTAGGGTGGAACATGTAACATGTTTCCATAGCTGCAGCCATTCCCCCTGCTCCCCCCTCCCTCTGACAGATAGTACAGGGAGAAGTTTCCCAATACTATCTGTAAAATTTGAAAACAGCGCCGCCAAGTCATTCATTCACAGACTTCCGTGAATGAATGAACTGCAATTCCCGAAAGCCTTGGGGGCTGTGAGCTTGTAGTTTTCAATGGACTACCACAGCGATGTGGAGTGCTGTGGTAGTTCATTGAAGCTTCCTCTCAGAATATCTGCTTGACTGTACATCCTATACGGCAAGCAGATATTATGACAGGTCTGCAGGAGACCTGCATGGCATCAACGATCTACTGATCACTGGTGCAATGTTTTTCAGGCTCTTTTGGATAAAAATAATTGCACATTTTTTTTACCCGCAAAAAAATGTGCATTTATTATTTATGTTCAAAAGGTGAACTTATCCTTTAACCCCCCCCCTGGCGGTATTCCTGAGTGTAGCTTGGGGTAAAGTTTCAGTACCAAAAGCGGTAACCCCGAGCTACACTCAGGAATACACTGCGACGCTGCTCCGGGATCCCTCGATCACTTACCTTGTCCCACGATCTCCCTCCTGCAGTGTCCCCTGTAATTTCCTCCGGCGGATGCCGGCATCTGTCATCTGGGTTCCGTCCCCTGCTACATCAGGACGGAACGGCGGGAAATTTGAAAATGACAGAAAGTGACATTCACTAAATACACTAAAAAAACATAGTAAAACATTACTGTATCAAACCATTTCACATACATTTTGTCCCTAGTGCTTTGTCCTGTGCCCTGCCTGCATTTTTACTGTTCTTTCTGCCTGGAAACAGAAATGTCCATGGCGTCCAAAAAGTATCCCTTTAGGTCAAAATCAGTTTTAGATCAGCTAGAGAACAGCGATAGTAAATTAGAACTACTTGCAGAATTGAGTGATAATGATTTGTGGGAAAATTCATCATCAGACACTGAAAATGATTCTGCGACTTTGCTCAGTGATGTGCGAACTTGGCGCTCTATTTCAAATTTCAGTGTTTTTAGTTTGATTATATTATTGAATTAAATTTATTATTATATTATTATTTTTTATGATTATTTATTAAATTATAATTTATGATTTTGTGTTTAAAATTTTAACATACCCGGAATGTTTACTAGACTCTTGTTTGGACAGATTTCAGTGAGTTATTCCTAAAAATTACAGGCCTACAATAAAAAACTACATATTTCTTTGCAAAAAAGTACCTGAGTGTAGCTTGGGGTAAAGTTTCAGTACCAAAAGCGGTAACCCCGAGCTACACTCAAGAATACACTGCGGCGCTGCTCCGGGATCCCTCGATCACTTACCTTGTCCCGCAATGTCCCTCCTGCAGTGTCCCCTATAATGTCCTCCAGCGGATGCCGGCAACTGTCATCTGGGTTCCGTCCCCTGCGACGTCGGGACGTACGGGGGACGGAACAGTGGGAAATTTCAAAATGACAGAAAGTGACATTCACTAAATACACTAATAAAACATAGTAAAATATTACTGTATCAAACCATTTCACATACATTTTGTCCAAAAGGTGAACTTATCTTTAACCCCCCTGGTGGTATTCCCGAGTGTAGCTTGAGGTAAAGCTTCAGTACCAAAAGCGGTAACCCCGAGCTACACTTGGGAATACACTGCGGCGCTGCTCTGGGATCCCTCGATCACTTACCTTGTCCCACGATGTCCCTCCTGCAGTGTCCCCTGTAATGTCCTCCGGCGGATGCCGACATCTGTCATCTGGGTTCCGTCCCCTGTATGTCCCGACATCGGCAGGAAATTTGAAAATGACAGAAAGTGACATTCACTACTGAGAAACTGAGAAATGTCCATGGCGTCCAAAAAGTGTCCCTTTAGGTCAAAATCAGTTTTAGACCAGCTAGAGAACAGCGATAGTAAATCAGAACCACTTGCAGAATTGAGTGATAATGATTCGTGGGGAAATTCGTCATCAGACACTGAAAACGATTCTGCGACTTTGCTCAGTGATGTGCTAACTTGGCGCTCTATTTCAAATTTCAGTGTTTTTGGTTTGATTATATTATTGTATTAAATTTATTATTATATTATTATTTTTTAGGATTATTTATTAAATTATAATTTATGATTTCGTGTTTCAAATTTTAACATACCTGGAATGTTTACTAGACTCTTGTTCGGACAGATTTCAGTGAGTTATTCCTAAAAATTACAGGCTTACAATAAAAAAAATACATATTTCCATGCAAAAAAATGTACTACTTTGAGCACAGAAATATGGACATAATCAGACCGCTAGGGAGGTTAAACTGTGCTCCTTTTAATCCTATGGATTGCAAAACATGGTCATTTTTGGTCATTTTATATTTAAAAAAATACAATTTTATTTAGTTTGTTCATCAATCCTTGCTATGACTACCATAAAAAAAAAGACTTACTAGTTTCTCTTAGCTTTCCATAGAAAGATAAGGACTGGTGCCAGACAAGTCAGCTGTTAGTCTGCAAAGCACATAGAAAGAGACAGCATCAGGGTGAGATAGTGCAGGTCTGCCTGGGAGAGTGGATGCTACAAATTCAAGCAATGTATAGGATGTGCTAGTTTCATTGCCAGGCGTGAGCAATCTATTTTTAGAAACCTTTTCTTGCAGAGCAGGAGTGGGAGAGCTGTTAAGTGGTAGAGAGACACAGAAATATAGTGACAGAAAGAGAAAGCAAGCAAAAAGACTGAAAAATACAAAGCCACAAGCCTCTGACTTCATCTCAGGAATACAGTAACATTCCCTAGCAGCATCCATATCCTTCCTCTGTGAGGTAGGTCCATACATTTTAATAATGATCTATCTAATGTTTGACTAGCATTGGTCGTGTAGGCCCAGCTGCATGTGTTTCATTATGAAATCAGGCACAGTACTTAGCTTGTGGTGTTGAGAATGGTGTATTATAATCTAGGCGGTGATGGGGAAAATGAAGGCTGTGTCTGGAGCTGCCAGTGATGTGTATCTGTATCAGCACCATGAATGAAAGGACAGCTCCTCCTGCCTTCTCGGCTCCACACCAAAGCAGACACTTTAGATGGGCAATTAGACTGCAGGGCTGTGCTAAACCTGAATTGTCCCCTTGCTGTTTATATCATCGCTACATGTGCAGCCACTACTGTCCAATGTAAATCCATGTCAGCAAGCACCCCTGGGTGATTCCCCAGTGTAATTCTCTCCTTATTGGGCAAACATTGTACTGATCTCTAATAGTTGCATGTGATCTTTGTCATTAACAGTTTAATAATTTTGGACTACTTCAGTATAAAATAATTTGTACAATATATTCTTTACCAATTGCCTAGATTTTATATATTAGTATATATATATATATATATATATATATATATATATATATATATATATATATATATATATCATTGATTATGTTGAATAAAGAAGATAACTAAGCACAAAGGGGTAGATTTACTAAAACTGGAGCACTCAGAATCTGGTGCAGCTTTGCATGGTAGCCAATCAGCTTCTAACTTCAGCTTGTTCAATTAAGCTTTGTCAATAAAACCTGGAAGCTGATTGGTTTCTCTGCAGAGCTGCACCAGATTTTGCACTCTCCAGTTTTAGTAAATCTCCCCCAAATTTCTGACTTGTTCTATCATGGTGCAGCTGTGCATGGTAGCCAATCAGCTTCTAACTTTAGCTTGTTCAATTAATTGTCAATAAAACCTGGAAGCTGATTGGTTTCTCTGCAGAGCTGCACCAGATTTTGCACTCTCCAGTTTTAGTAAATCTCCCCCAAATTTCTGACTTGTTCTATTATGGTGCAGCTGTGCATGGTAGCCAATCAGCTTCTAACTTCAGCTTGTTCAATTAAGCTTTGTGAATAAAACCTGGAAGCTGACTGGTTCATCTACAGAGCTGCACCAGATTTTGCACTCTACAGTTTTAGTAAATCTCCCCCAAATTTCTGACTTGTTCTATCATGGTGCAGCTGTGCATGGTAGCCAATCAGCTTCTAACTTCAGCTTGTTCAATTAATTGTCAATAAAACCTGGAAGCTGATTGGCTTCTCTACAGAGCTGCACCAGATTTTGCACTCTCCAGCTTTAATAAATCTCCCCCAAATTTCTGACTTGTTCTATCCTGCTGGCTTTTTATGTATCAGAATTTCAATGTAAATATCCTGCTGCCAGGAAAGGGTTAATTGTCGTCCAAAAGTGGGTCCGTACCAATCATTTGACCAAATAAAAAACATAAGAAACCTTAATATTTTAATAGCTGAAGCCGCACAGATGAGTGGATGCGTTGGTTAGCATTGTTGCCTTGCAGCTGAGATCCTGTACTTTATTCCTACCAGAAAGAACATCTGTATGGCTTTTGTTTGTTTGTGTGGGTTTCCACCATGTGTTTTAGTGTCCTCTTAAAAGTGAAACTGGTAGGTTAATTACAGTGTGACCAAATTGGGCCTAATGTGCTCATGCATGTCTTTGTGTGACTGTAGTAGGGTCAATAGATTGTGAGTTGCCCTTTATTGAGGGGACTGCTATGAATGGTTCTTTGTTCTGTTGTTTAATATCTATACATGAATGTAGATTATTCTACACATACTTTTAAAAAGGACATTTAAGTATATTTTTGTGTAAATATTTAAGTTGTGTTATGTATTTTAAGCCATTTAATAGGCCCTTTAGTTGGTTCTGCCACACCAGATGCTAGAAATAAAACATAAACTCAGCAGCTACAATGTTAAAGGTGCACATTACAACCTGTAATATGCAAAAATTAGAAATGCAATTATTTTAAAATACCTTTCAAACAGTTGGATAGTCACCAGGTTAGTAGTCAAAATGTGTTTCTGCAAACATACTTATTTAGAAGGATGTCTTTGTATTTACAGTTGTGGCCAAAATTATTCAACCCCCACTGAAATTGAGTGTTTTGGCCAGTTTGACATTGCTTTTGATCATTCAGTCATCTTGCTTACATTTACATTAAAGAGGCACTTGTAGGTCAGACAAATATAACATAACAGTTATAATGAAATAACCACAAATGTCTTTTCTGTGCTCACAGCATTATCAGTTTTATTCAACCCCCAAGTGACATTCAATCTTAGTACTTAGTACAGCATCCTTTTACAGTTATAACAGCTTTTAAAACGTGAAGCATAGCTTGACACAAGTGTCTTGCAGCGATCTACGGGTATCTTCGCCCATTCTTCATGGGCAAAGGCCTCCAGTTCAGTCACATTCTTAGGCTTTAGCGCAATGCAACTGCTTTCTAAACCTAAGTCCCACCAGAGGTTTCATATCGGATTTAAGTCTGGTGACTGTCTGCGATGGCCACTCCAAAATGTTCCAGCCTGTTTCTCTCCTTATTGCAAACCACTGATCTCTAGTGGACTGTGGAGGTCATGCTTGGGATCATTGTGGACTACTGTATAAAATAATTTGTCCAACGTCTTTACCCAATTGCCTCAGATGTGTGATATATATATACTGCATCACGTTTATATCCATATCTCCTGGTTACTGAAGAAATTCATGGTACCTTGCACACGCTGAAGATTTACCTGTACCTGCAGAAGCAAAACAGCCCTGGTGCAAAGCATGATGGACCCTCCAACTTCATGCTTGTTCAAGCTTTGTCAGTAAAACCTGGCAAGGTGTTCTTTCTCATCATAGCTGCACTTGTTCTCCTCCTCCAAACACTTGTTTCTAGCGTTGATCCATGGGCCCAAAACAGCTTCTAATTTTGTTTTCAATTAATTGTCACAGAAACTATCCCACAACTTTTGTGGTTTGTCCACATGGCTTTTGGCATACTCCAGTTTTAGAAATCTCTTCTTATTCTTTGGAGACAGCTGCAAGGGGTACGCCAATGGGAGTTCTGGCACGGAGGCTTTCATTACGCAGTGTGCGTAAAATTGTCTGGGCTGAAACTTCTGTACCCACATCTGACAAATCTTTTCTACAGTTCCTCAGCAGTCTCCACGGGGACTTCTCTTGTTCTATCATGGTACGCTTCAGGTAGCGCACAGCTTCGAACTTCAGCATGTTCAATTTTGTCAATAAAACCAGCTAGGCGTTCAACAGTGCCCTTTTTGCACTTGAATTTGCGAATGATGCTTCCTAAGGTGTCTTTTTATGTATAAATCTTTGCAATCTTCTTATAGCCATTGCCCTTCCTGTGAAAGAGAAAATCACCTCTTCTCTTGTCTTCCTGGACCATCATCTTGCCTTCAACCATTAATTTTTAACCTGACCGCACAGATAAATGTGCTAGAAGGAGCTGAGTATCCTGTACTTTTTCCTACCAGCCTAAGAAACATTGTATGGCTTATTATGCTTGATTGCTGCTCGGGTTTCCACAGTGTTTTCAATAAACTGATGGAAACAGCACCTGGGCCTATGAACTCTCTGTTTTGTTCACTGTAGTAGGGTCAGTCTTTAAGGGGACTGTTGAATAATTGTTCTGTTGTTTAATATCAATGAAGAGAACCACATACTTTTAAAAACCATTTAAGTACTTTATTACATAAACATTTTAATGTCATGTTTTTAAGTTGCATTTGGGTAGTTACCAACGTCCTTGTACAATGGATTTGATTACTGAATAATATGCAAAAATTCCAAATGTAATATAGTTTAAAATACCTTTAAAGCATTGGGGGTTGTATCAAAATTTTTCTGGCAAACATACTTATTTAGAAGGATGTCTTTGTATTTAGTATCCACAAATCTCAGATGCTTTGAAATGCATTATGAAAATATTAATACCATTAGATTTAGAATTTGAACAGGATCATGCTGTTATGAATCATATACAACTCCCAAGT